TGCATGTGCTCCGACACGTGCCAGTGGTGGTTGCATCTTGCCGCGTAACACCAGCCCTTTGATTCATGACGCCCGACGACCTCTCGTAACCTCAACCCCTTGCTGTGTGTGCCACGATGTTCTGTCACCGTGAGGTTTTTCAACCCTGGAAGGTCCTCAGCGATCGCCTGGCTGCGAGGAGATGGGCGCAGGCCAGACGGCGTGCGGACCGGATGGACGCTAGATGGACTAGACGGATCGCGAGCGACGGAAGGGAGCTTGCCGCGAGCCAAGCCTGGGATATGGACAATACGATAAGCAGACTGGCTGTCGATGGATGAATGTCTGCACGTGCGGGATGCTATGGGAATGGAGTGTGTGGGAATGATGGGGGTTGTCACGTAGAATGGGGAGGGTCATCTAGAGGGTCATAGGGTAGAAGAGCCGTTCGCAGAGCCACGAAAACGACGAGTGAGGAGCGAAAGCGACGAGCGACAGAGGCGTTCGTGGCGTCGCAACGGCTTCCCCCTCCTCTAACCCTAACCCTAAACCGCATTTGGCCGAATGGTTAAGGCGCCTCCCTGCTATCTCATTGTAAGGAGGTTCCCTCTGGGAGCACAGGTTCAAATCCTGTAGGCGTCGATGTTTCATTTGTCTGTTTTGTGTGGTTTTGGCCGAAAGGACCCACCCACCCGTTTCCCCGCCGTCCTTTTTTGCCTCGCTTCATGTCGTGAAACCCATTGCACATTGCGCTTTCGGTCCAAACAACCCACATCGGCAAACCCTCGCATTCTCACCGTCCCGCCGTTCAGCTCCAAAGCACACGTCCTCACGCTTCCCTGATCCCACGAACAGAGAAAAGCTTCACACGAAACAGCGGAAGACGCCGACCAGTCCCAAACAGTCCCAGCTTCCCGTCCTTCCACGCGAGGACTGTTTCCCCGTTCGCCGTCTCGTTTCGCTACCCAACACCCAACACCCCGGCCCTCGAAGCGCCCAGAAGGGTCCTATCCCTCTCGGTCTCTCGAACGCTTCGCCTGTCTAGAGGAGTGGAAACCTAGCTTCTCGTCTTTTTCCAGGCGCTTTCCACGACGGCGACTTCGCCCGTCGCGCGTGTTCAACGGACTAGAGCTAGTTTCGTATCTCTCTCACACGCAGATCGGAACGGGAGAGGCCGCATCCTTCCTACCCTATTTACTGATGCCCGTGACAGCTCAGCTCGACGTCCACTCCTCCTCTCCATCCTCCCAACCCCCAGCCAAGGTCCAACCGACGAAATCAGCGGTCGTCCTGAGCAAACCCAGACCTCGCACCTTGGAGCCAGCGCGGCCGAGGTTGATAGACAGGCATTGCTGCTCCCTGTTCTCGGGCAGTGCCTTCAAGGGACACCAGACCAGCGGGAGGAACAGTTATGACGTTACGGTGGACTTTCAGGTTTGCACAGGGGGGCGAGCAGAAATCGCCAAGCGGTAGTGTTCTCTCTCACTTACGATGCCATGGTCCCCCGTTTCATAGCACGTGGACCTGGCGAGCTCGTTCCTCTGCGGTTATCTGTCCATAAAGGGACTCACGGAGGACTACCCGGATCTGTGCACCTTCTTCGAGGGTGAGATCATCGGTCCCAAACATTCGTTCCTGACGAGAAAGTGGGACGCCGACGAAGCCATCGATCGGCAGCATTGGGTATGTGCACGAGCACGGGAAAGAACGTGGACTGGAAAACCGTGGAACGAACAAGTTTCGTCTTCTGACTCGGGGGACTGGTTTTCGTTCCCGTTCCATTCCAGCAACGGTTCCCGGAATTCGCAGAGTACGTGGATCGATTCAACGAGGACGGATTCTCGTTCGATTTCGAGACGAGCGATTTCATCTTCATGCGTTGGAAGGTGCGTTGCCTCGTATTTAAAGGGAATCCGTCTCTGTTCAAGGCGCTTGCTCGGTGTTGACTGGGCGTTGACGGGGCGTGGTGTTGCAGGAACACTTTTTGGTACCGGACCATGCCATCACCGCCATCTCCGGGGCTTCGTTCGCCGGTTTCTACTACGTGTCGTATCAAAAGTCCCTTGGCTGTATAACGGGTCTCTACTTTGTAAGTGTCATGTCGGCATCTGTCGGCTTGTCACCACCCCACATCACACTGCCGGCTTACCTTCAGCATCTCCCCCTTTAGCACCACAACTCGGAATGGTTTCAGCATCTCTCGCTCAAGCACGTACCGTCAACGTCCTTTCCCGCCTTCGAGTTCCGTTAGAGAGTGCTGGGACAGAAGGATCCGGTTCGGTCAAGATGTTTTCTTTTCCCGTGTTGCGCTTCGCTGGGTCCGTCGTGCATCGCTTCGCTATGCTCTCAAGCGCTACATGTCGGACGATCCTAGAAAGAGTCTCTTGGGGCTTTGCGGTGTGCTATCCTGATATTTCCTTCGCCTTTGCCGTCACGTCTCCCCTGCTGTTACTTGACGTCGTGTTCTCTCTCATCTCTTTTCTCTGTTTATAATGCTGTGCTTTATACAATCTCCCAACAAGCTGTACATATCTACATTGGGCTCTTGAAGTTGTTCCTGCGCAGGAAGTTTGTCGACTTTCGTCGAACGCGTAAGGGGTATGAACCTTTCCCACGCTTTCCCACTCCATTCCCAAACCTATACTAGACTGGATCTGGTGAAGATGGTCCCAGAGGTCCTACCGCTCCAACGACGGCAGCAGTCGCACGCTCAACCACCACCACCACCACCACTGAACTACGCAGCTTCGCAAACCTCCACGGCCGACTCGCTCGAATCCTACAACTCTTCCTCCACCGACCATCCAACACCATTCAAAGTCGATCCCTCCACGTTCACATTCCTTCCTCTCATCGTACAAGCTCTTGAAGCCCTTCAACAGGCAGTCGCACCACCTCACGCATCACCCTCATCCTCGGATCCCTCTTCGATGGTCCCGTCAGGGGACGGAGAGAGTCCTGCTCTCGAGGCGGAGAGACTGGTAAGCGACGAACGTGAACGTGGACATGCTCGAGAGTGGGGTTTGCCCGACCCAGACCGAGAAACTATCCGATGCGACCGAATGCAAGACTCGTTGGAACGTCTGGGGTTTTCTTTTATTTCTGATCTTCTCGTTCTCCAGATTCGAACGGTCCAATCCCGCATCCGCGACGCCCGCGACTCGATCCGCGACCTTCCGAACGTCGACGTGTCCGAGGAACGACAGATGGACGCCTTGAGGGAAGCTAGGAGGTTGTTGTTGGGGAACTCGAGGTAAAAAGAGACATCGGACCATCCGAGATTTGGTGATGTCCAGCATACCCCGCTGCGACGATGATCGGAAGGGTTCTGACCCCCCTGTTTCCCCAACCTTCGTGTCTTTCATCAAAGTCCGCCCCGACAACCACCTACCCGGTATGACGAACTCGCGCCGAACAATGTACAGGATGGTGAGCATGCGGACAACGACGAGGTCGTCGACGGGATGGACGTGGAATGAAGGTCGAGAAGAACGAGAACCTGCTTCCTGTTGGATGTGACAGACGACCAGGTTTCCATCCCAATCCTCTCTTAGCCTCGATGGTCAGAACCATGAAGACGTTGTGGAGAGTCGACCAGCTTGAGAAGAGAGCGCACCACACAACTCATAAACGCTCGACTACGAAACGAACCGAAGGACAGGCGGGCGAACACGACACCCGCACCCGCGTCGCTGCCCCCGGTCGCCTGGGAAATATGCGGAAGCCTTGTCCCTCGCCCAGGGATCTTTTCGCTGTACCTGGAAAATCTGACGGGATAGCCCGAGCTGGGCCAAGGCGTCAGGTTGCGTGCGGGGGACATGCCTGGTTGCTCCGACTTCGGTCGTCTCGAGCCTCTACCAATGCAGCTGGGGGGCCCAGATCTCTTCGGACCCGTGAATTTAATCCCACTCGTCATACAAACACACACAGCGGCAGCAGCTCCCCAACCCCGCCTCGCTGCGGGTAGGTGAAAGAACGAAGAAGCCTCATGGCCGCAGGCAGTGAGGGTACAGGCACGCCGTACGGGAATTGGCTTCTGATGTTCCTGAGGGGCAAAGCAGCGGAGCACCCACGTCAGAGGCATCACACGAACACTGAAGGAGATGTGACGAGCCGCAAGAGAGGCGGTGTACAGGGCGAGGGGCCAGCCCCGTTTCCTGTGCACGTCTGCTCCGCCTCCCAACCCACAGGTCGGCGATCACATCACATCGCAAAGGACTCCAACAAGTGCCGAAGCCACGTGTCTAGTGCAACTCAGTGTGTAACCACGCAGGCTTTACCAAGCGGACGTCCGCAAGAGAATCGTTCTTTAGTAGTACCTCGGGAACTTACTTTTTTCTCTGTGTACAGTAAACGGTTCAGACTCAAAAAAAAGATTTTGCGCAGTTTTTTTTTTGGACAGCGGGGCGGCGGCCACTGTACGCTGTACACACACAGAGCAAGAACAGCGCTCCCTCTCACACAGCCCATCGGGATCAGAAAGGGGATGCGGTGCCCAGCATGGCCACGGCGAGGCGATGGCCCGGCAGAGGGAGGTAGGTGTTCGGCATCTCGTGGCCGCCACCAGCCCTGCCTGCGTCCTACAAAAGGTCGGCCCCCCGCGCTTCGGCTTCCCTCCAAATCCGCATCCACATCCACATCCCTCTGTACTCTCCCCAGCATCCCATCTTCCAGCATGTTCATTCGGGTCATCCCAGCCCTCGTGGTCCTCTCCCAGCTCGTCCGCGCTCAGACTGCTACTCCTCCGGCTATTCCATTGCCCCCGCCTATGCCCGTGGCATGGCCACCTGCCAACGAGAACCATCAGATCAGCGGTGACCTGCTCAACGACCCCCTCGTGGCGACCGCGTTGGCGTACGTGAACGCCGTCGTTCCCCAGGAGGTCCTCAGTATCGCACCTTCAACCTTCATCAAGGACTCGAGGACCACGTACGACAAAGTCGCCGCCGTAACAAACTGCTACTGGCCGCAAGGTCTCTGCGTCAGGAACGCGGACACGGCCACCTACCTCGCGGATGTGACAGCATGCCCAGGTGCCAATCAGTGGGGTCTGACCTACGATGATGGACCCATCGTCGCCTCTGCCGCGGACGCCACCACACATCCCGACTCCACCGATCTCCGCGCAAAGCTCAAGAGCTACGGCAAGCTCGCGACCTTCTTCGTCGTCGGTTCCAACGGCATCCAGTGGCCCGAGGAGATCCTCGCCCAACACCAGGACGGTCACCAGCTCGGAATCCACACGTGGAGTCACAGGCCATCCACCACTCTCACCAACCAAGAGCTCGTCGCCGAGATCAAGTACACCGAAGCCATCATCTACAACGCCACCGGTCTCCTCCCCACCATGTGGAGACCCCCCTACGGTGACATCGACGATCGCGTCCGAGCCGTAGCACACGCTCTGGGTCTCCGAACCGTAGTGTGGACGGACAGCGACGGAGGACCCAACAGAGACGACGGTGCAGCGGACGCGACGGAGCAGACCCCGGCAGCTCACGACAAGGCCGTAGCAGCGGTCAAATCTTGGTTCACTCCTCAACCTGGTTTCATCTCCCTCTCCCATGACATCGACTCGTTCACCACCCAGGTCGACCTCGACTCCCTGGACGCCATGAACGCCATGGGAGCAGCCTTCCCGC